GTGTGTGTGTGTGTGTGTGTGTGTGTGTGTGTGTTTATCCGCAGGAGGAAGGTGGAGATCATGCACACACACAGCCTCTTTACTCTCTTGGGAGAGAGGCTCATGCTGCACACCAACACTGTGACGCTGACAACCTACAACACTCTATACGAGGTAACAACACATTTTCCTCTCAAATGTCCCGGCGTTAGCGCACCATTGCTCTTTCTGTACAGACTGCGAGACTGTTCTCACTACTTATCACCACCAGATCCTGACAGAGCAGGTGTGCACGCAGGTTGTTCATAAACCTCATCCAGAGCCCGACTCCACTGTCAAGATTCAGAACCCAAGTAAGCATCTTGTATGTCACATGTGGGTTTTACTTCCTCCTGAAGTATTTTCTTTGACAATATGTCTGTATTTGTGTTTTTGTGCATGTGACATCAGTGATCCTCAAGGTAGTAGCAACCTTACTGAAGAACTCTGCCAACAGTACAGAGCTGATGGAGGTGCGGCGACTCTTCCTTGCAGACATGATCAAACTGTTTAGCAACAGCAGAGAGAACAGACGGTGAGCAGAGCTTAAGCTGCCTTTTACTCGCTTACTCCATCAATTATCTCAGGGATTAGTATATCAAGGAAAAGAGAAAAGAGGGACACTGTTCCTTCTCATGTGCCATGTTTAATAGGCTCATATTGATGGTAAATCATCCTTGGACGTGCACATGTTGTCCAGCAGATGTTTCCATGACAAGGAAGACAGTTTCTCATTCCTGCTTTCTCTCTTTTTCACTCTCACACCAAACCTCTTCTTCTGATACACATACTCACTCTTAGACATATTGCAATTAAATTAAAGGTCTTAGGAAACCACTGACCTAAATCAACAACATAATTAGCGTAACATTAATAGGCAGGAAGTGCTTTGTCAAGTCAAACTGTTGAATTGGAGAAAAAATAAAACACTTAATTGGTTTTTAATTGCTGCCCCTTTTCTGTCTTGGCTGTCACTTTGTTTTGTGAGATACTGTTGCCAAATAAACAACCAAATGAATTTATGAATGGCCAAATGATCAAAACAATCTGTCGTCATGTGAATAGTAATGCCCTCTAGAACTGCTGTGCTCTTTTGACACAAAGAAAGATGGAGGGGGAGTAGGCAAAAAGAATAATTAGCCTAAATCATTTTAAATGTCGATGGAAAAAGCCACAGTAGATTTAAAATTAAAATTCCTTTAAACACAAACATTAACTATAAATGTTATACTTGCCAAGTTTTCTTAAATCGCTCAGTTATTATGTGTCATGCATGCTGCATATTTGTGATGATTTTGAAGTGATGTGTGTTTTGCAGGTGTCTTCTTCAGTGCTCTGTTTGGCAGGACTGGATGTTTTCTCTTTGCTACATTAACCCCAAAAACTCTGACGAGCAGAAGATCACTGAGATGGTGTACAACATCTTTCGTATTCTCCTCTACCATGCCATCAAGTATGAGTGGGGAGGATGGCGAGTGTGGGTGGACACGCTCTCTATAGCCCATTCTAAGGTGAGTACTTTACTGTACAACAAAGACTGCTGCTGTCGATAGAGCCAGTTTTATTTTTATTCCATCATATCTGAGCTATTGAGCTTCTTCTGAAAAGATCTTACTGGTCATTGCTTCGCAAATACGTGGCTAACATCCTTGCATCTTTTTACAGGTGACATTTGAGGCACATAAAGAGTACTTGGCTAAGATGTATGAAGAATATCAACGTCAGGAAGAGGTGAACATTAAGAAAGGGATAAAGGGGCTGGTCAGCACCATCTCTGGTCTATCTGCTCAGGCATCTGGCATCCAAGGTGCAATTGAGATCAGAGAAATGGACGACAACTCCCAGACACCTGAGAGTGAGACAGACTTTCAGAGTGCAGACTCACGCAACCTGCTGGCTGAAGGGAAGGGGCCAGAGGAGGGTCTGAGCGGAATGGAGGGTGTGGTCGACGGGGTCAGGGTCGAAGTTCACGACCTCCTGGTGGATATCAAGGCTGAAAAGGTGGAAGCCACTGAGGTTAAACTGGATGATTTGGACTTGTCGTCTGAAACTCTGGGAGTATCTGAGAATGGATCACTGGTGGAGGTGGATTCACTGTTGGATAATGTTTATTGTGCTGCTGTGGAAAAGCTCAGCAGTAATGGCAACAGCCTGCTGTTGCCAAAGAGCAGCGTGGACAACCAAAATGCAACCCCTCTCATTACACTCGATGATGACAGGGACATTATCGATAATGACAACAACTTCCTGTTTGGCAAGGTGACAGCCAGCATGGAGGACAAGCTACTGCCTGATCTCAGTCCAGCTGAGCCTGTGGTCCTGCCCAGCCAAGAGCCTCCTGTGCACGCCAGCGCCAGTGATGAACTGGGCCTTCTAGCTCACATGACAGGCAGCTCTGAGCTTGGCTCCTTACCTATTATCCTGGAGAAGGATGAGTTTGAACTGCAGGCAGCCTTGGAGGGCATCAGCTCTGTGGCCAGTACTGAGACGGAAGCTTCATCCAAAAGCCCGGAGGTCAGTAAGGGAACAGCTGCAGTGGCATCTGACGGGGAGCCCTCGGCTGGTAAGACCAGCAGCACAGCAGATGCCACAAGCAACGCTTCTGACACAGAGCGATCAGATGATGGCAAAGACAAGGAGATAAAGAAGATTCAGACAACAGCCACCACACAGGTTTGTCTGCAGCTAAATTGCTTGATAGAATTAGTTCATAAATGTAAATTGAGTTAAGCAAGAATATTAAATTCAAGACAGTACTCAGACAATACTCAAGTAAGAAATAGTAGCGATTCACTGACTTCACCACAGTCAAATTAACCGGACAGCTCTTTGCCAGAGGGAAATCTGACAATGGACGATCATGAATGCTGATACATATCAGTCAGTGTCAAAGGGTGGAAAGCGAGGAGGGAGACCATTTGCCTTTGTCAGTCATTGTGTTGACCTGTAGTGAAGAATTCTGTATTATCAGACCCATAGGGATCATTCAATCCCCAACTCTGCTTATAATGGGGACAAGATGGCCTGGTGCACATCAGGCAACATCCCTCAGAGACTCTGGAAACTGGGTTGCTGGAATCGTTAGCTGAGCCAACAGGAAGGCAGAAATAGACAAAGCATTATTCTGCAACTATCACCTGGGATTTGTCCGATGCTCCCCTTCTCTTCCTCAGAGGTCAGGCTCTTCTGCCCAGACGGGGTAACCAGTGGGAGACAGGATCTATTTTTAGACCCTACCATCCTGTCTTGTAATTTCTAATGTTCAATTTATTGTTTTTACTTTTACTGGCTTTTTTGTAGCACCTTGCTGACTCATTCATATTAGGTATAGAGGTTGCACTGAGCTTGTTGTATTTGGCGGTAATGCACCTTGACGTTGGTTGCCATCTGCCAATAAGCTGAACTAAGAAGAAGAAGCTTGTTGTATTTTCTTTATTACCCACAGGCAGAAAGAGGTCATCCGAGGACGCAAATCTGGCAATTCATCTTTCATCTTATTAAGGGTGCACTATTGATCTTGACAGAAGAATAGGATCAGCAACGTGTCTGCGTACAGTATCTCAAGATTGTATATGTGATAGTAGCTTCAATCATTTAGTGTTGGTGTCCTTACAGAATCTACACAGCCGCCATGCTACTCATATGGAGAGGGACATACGTGTGGACCTCGGCTTCAGGGGCATGCCCATGACAGAGGAGCAGCGGCGTCAGTTCAGCCCTGGCCCAAGAACAACTATGTTCCGCATCCCAGAGTTCAAATGGTCAACCGTGCACCAGAGGCTGCTCACTGACCTGCTGTTTGCACTGGAGAGTGACGTCCATGTCTGGAGGAGGTGTGTGAAGTGGATTATTTTAGTGGGACAGAGAGGGAGGGGGGGCTCTGATTACCCTTCTGAATCAAAACACAGTAGTTATTCAATCTTTTCATTCACATTTTTATATAAATGATTTTTACTCCACAGTAAATTGCCCTTTTATTATTGTGATGTGAAAAATGCTTGTACCTATAATCATTCTGTTTTTTCCCACCTTTTCTTTCAGCCACTCTACCAAATCTGTCATGGACTTTGTTAATAGTAATGAAAACATAATTTTTGTCCACAACACTATCCACCTCATTTCACAAATGGTTGACAACATCATTATTGCCTGTGGAGGGATTTTGCCTCTTCTCTCAGCGGCCACCTCTCCTTCTGTAAGTACACGCTACTGTCTTTATTGAAGGGGTATAATGCCATCTAGTGGCAGGTTACTATAAGTGCTTGGTTTGTGGTTGTAGTTCACAACAGTTCAACACTGCACCTGAGGGAAATAAGACTAGTTAAGATTTTTTAATTGGGTCTTTATTTGCCCAGCTTCATCCTGCTAGAATAAAAACTGAAGAAATCACTTTGGTGCATTTTTGTTGTTGTTTGTAATTAACTTCCCTTTATTTAATTTGTAGCCTTGAATTGAAATTGATTCTAATCATATTATTTTGTTTATTTTGTCTGCGGATGTCTAGAGTGCCAAGGTACGTATTTTTGCCATTTTGATTTGTCCCACTTAATCCCACATTTCATTCAAACCTATTTGTCCTTGATACACATTGTATAGATCTGAAAATGTTTCATTCCTCTGAACATATACCTTCCACAATGGTTTTCTTATAAAATCCTCTTAATTCATCTCCGCAAAGGAGACTTGAGTTAAACTGTCACCCAATACGTCTTTGATGAAATATCACCTGGTGGACTGAACTGCAGTCATCTGGGTTTGGATCAAACTTTTAATCAAACAACACAAACAATTTCTGGGGTGAGACAAGACTCATCCTCATATAATTACAATGGCTGATGATCCTGCTCTCTACCCCAGCTGCCACTGAGTGTTTCTGTTTAAAAACTTTCAGTATTTTCTTGCATCGTCCTGTTAAAAAATAAACTAAAATTTAATCACAGCTGCAGGTTAAATGTAGAAAGACATTGCTCATGTGCATTTTGTTTTTTATGACTGGTGTGTTCCTTGATGCTTGTGCAAGACTGAGTTGGACAACATCGAGGTGACACAGGGAATGTCCTCGGAGACCGCTATCACTTTCCTGTCCCGTCTCATGGTGATGGTGGACGTGTTGGTGTTCTCGAGTTCCCTCAACTTCAGTGAGATCGAGGCTGAGAAGAATATGTCCTCTGGTGGCCTGATGCGTCAGTGCCTCAGACTCGGTAAGATCACTATTGTATATTTGCTGCTGCAGATTGTCAGTCAGTGCACTTGGAGGATTGAACCAATTTCAGTTTGGTGAAATGCATCTTTTTGTTGCTACACTGGGAAACTGATAAGCTACAAAATACCATGACAGCATTCTCTTCACACACTAATAATTTCTCTAATCCCTGTAAAGCCTCTGTTTGATCAGCAAAGCTAATTAATTTGAGAGCCCTTTGCTAATTGTATATTACATTGGAGAGTGCTGCAGTTTCCAGCTGTAGAAAATAACAGGATCATCACTTTGGAATTCATAACAAACAGAGTGAATAATTTGCAGTGCAATCAGGTGCTCTTTGCAAATGGTAGCCTTTGTGTCTCATAGGACTGCATGAGGTCCTCTCGACCATTGTGTGTTTCACTGCCTATGTACATTATGAATTGCAACTTAGATAACTGCTTAATTCAGGAATTCTTAAAATGTGAATTTTATTGAATTAAATGTACATTTCTATTTAGTTGCTTTAGTGCTATTCTTTGTTGCAGGAATCAGACTGTGTGCATGATTGTATCCGTTTCTACATCTGTAGAATCTGTTGACTATCCAGTTGGGGTGTAGGGGGGTACTAAAAAGCCGTCAGACTTCACGGTGTGCCCGTTGCAAACATGCAATTTCTCATCACAAGCTTCGGTGTGAAATCGGTCTGGCTGCTGATTTTTCTCCCAGTGTCCACCCCTGCAGCCTGGAACAAATAGTCATCATGGATAACTGATTAGTTTTAAAGAGGGCATGCATGTTATTAACAGTTCATTTCCATCTAACTCTGAGATGAGAGCCTATTTGTATTCTGTGTGCGTGTGTATTTGTCACTGGTGTGTGTGTGAGTGCAGTGTGTTGCGTGGCTGTTAGGAACTGTCTAGAGTGCAGGCAGAGACACAGAGACAGGGGAAGTAAGTCTTCCATTCCCAACAACAACAAGACTCAGGAAATCCTGCTGAATGCTTTGACTTCCAGCAAGGTAGGATGTCATAACTTTTCTTTCTGTTTAGAGTTTTGTCAATACATTATTTTTTACTGCAGGAACACTTTGCCCCATGCTTATGGTGATGCTAATTCAGTGTTACTAATCTAAGAGTCATATATCTGCTTTTCAGTTCCATTGGTCCATTTTCTTATCCCTAAAATTAGGTGAAAACAAAAGTAAATGCGTGTTTAACTGAGTTAAAAGAGTTGCATGTCATATTGTGTTATCTCCCTGCTTTAGACAGCCATAGAGATTGTCCCTTGTAACCTGTCTCCCATCAAGGACCCGGATCGCCTTCTGCAGGATGTAGACATTAATCGTCTGCGAGCTGTGGTGTTTCGTGATGTGGTGAGTGCCAGTCTGCGTCTGTGCATGTGCAAGTGGTTTGTTTGGAGGACATGCATGTGTTTGTCACAAAGACCTGGCTGCAGATAGAGACGATGAAAATAGGATTAGCTTTTTTTGGCAGACACATAGGTGTGCAATGTAACACCCTTCAATCAAAGGGTGAAACCTTGTCGACTGAGCTGCTGTTAAATACGAGCCTACCAAATTTGAATGGATAGATTTCAAAGCAAGTATGAGACACTTGTTAGAGAAAAAAGGACATTACTTTGAATGTGTTTCCAAGGTGAGAGAACCACTTCAGGCAGCAGCAGTGGATTATGTGAAAACGGATCCTCTGTATATGGAGAGTGACATGACCATGTTGTGATTCTTCTCTACAGGATGACAGTAAGCAAGCCCAGTTCCTGGCTCTAGCTGTGGTGTACTTCATCTCTGTCCTCATGGTGTCCAAGTACCGCGACATCCTGGAGCCCCAGCGGGAGACTGCCAGGATAAGCAGCCATTCAGGCCACAGCATGCGTCAGGAGATCAACTCACCGACCAGCACAGGTGTTGACAGCTGTCCTGTGCCTTTCTTACACCCATCCCTCCTGCTCACTAATCTGAGCTATAGCTGATATGAATGAATGTTCAGGGTCCTTGGTCCTTTTGGCACACTGCTGCCAGCTTGAGCCGAGAGCTCATTCAGTAAAATAGCAGGGATACCCTGTCTGCACTCCACAGGCTCACCGATGATTTATTCATGAGCTCCGCTAATTGCACCGCACAGAATTAAACATGGAATCAAACTGGGGCTGGAGATGGTACTTCATGAACTTGCATGGACATCATCAGTCCCTCTGAAATAAAAGGTAGTATACGCCTTGAGTCATAAATCATACATTAAGTCACATGAAAGGAAATCAGTGGCTGCTTACAAAGGTTTAACACAACGTCTGCTGCTTTTATGAGATGCTCCAGTGAATATACTGCATCAAATTCCATTCAGATGAAATGTGAAGTGAATAAAGGAAACAAGAAAAAGAGAAGGGAGGCCAGAGGAAATATGAGTGTAATTTTAAGAGGTAGGAACACAGCAAATGAAGAAAGAGGAGATAAGATGAGAAAGCAGCATCAGTGCTAGCTAGCTACTGTGGGTTTTTGGGGTAGTGGAGCCAGGCTTGCTATTTTCAGCCTCATCTGTCAGTGCCCATTAGGCAAGCAATCCACCAGAGGAGAATGGGATCATAGAGGTTGCTGGGAGGAGAGAGGCGCACTACCGCCTTCATAAATTTCACCAGAAAATGGGGGAATTTTCCAGACAGTATGTGGCAGACGATTGTCTGATGGACCAGGAAGACTCACTGGTGAAATCAGGCCCTACTGACCATGTTAGGGTGGAAGTGATGAATATTGCCATGTTCGACCTGGCGTCAAGGTAACCACTGGATCCGGATGAACCAACAAGCAAACCAGATGGTCACCTGTGCCAACTGATGGCAGAATCAACAAATGTTTCATTTCAAACATTAAAGAGATGAACTTGGCCCGATTGACAGTCACCAGCCAGCACAGATTATTGGATCTCTCTCCAGAAACTCTGATCCTCTGCTGAGATGATCTACTTTATTATTCTTTTATGCTAAAACAACACCTCCCTAATGCCCTGGGAGACACATCTATTGAACTGCTTTAATACACAGAGGTGTCAGATAGCTGCTCTATTATTCTGGTTCATAATATACTGCACTTTTCTTTACAAACAAGATGTTGAGTGTGAAGTTTTCTCAAAAATACAACATCTGGTGTCTTCACACATTTATTTTTCTGTGCTGGCTGGTGACTGTCAACACACACTACATTTACTCTTTACTCTTTGATGAGGAACGTATAACTAACTCTGGAATGCAGTTTTAGTCACTGTTCTTGGTGCACAACTACGATTAATACATTACACAACAGTAATATGTTAACCAATATAGTTAGTGAGTGACAGAAATATTATTATGTATGATACCACTGTATTTTAATTACTAAACTAATTTATCCAAGAAAAGCATCAAACATTTGACAGTTCTAACCTCTCAAATGTGAGGATTGTGTTTCACATTTTTTCATTTGCATGTTGTTTGACTTTATATTTTCATTTTATTGTTTAATTAATCAAGCACAATTGATGATAAAATGGAAACTTGTGAAGAATATTTCCAAAGATTAGAAATAAATTTGACACAATTATAATTTGGTCATAATTATTATAGCATTGTAAATAGCTGATGACAGTGTCTGTTTTCTGTGTGTGTGTGTTCTACAGAAACACCCCTAGCATTCAGCAGCAGTAAGGATCATCTTGGACCATCAGAGAACCTCCACATAGAGAGCTCTCTCCCCCGCACGGACTCTGGGATTGGAGAGGAGCACGTAGCCAGCATCCTTAATGGGTCTGACCCAGATCACGGCGCTGGAGGGCCGGACGCTGTGGGCGAGCAGATATCAACCTTGTCCTCAGAGGTGAAGAAGTCCAGGGAGAGTCTGTCTGAACCACCTACCGTGGAGATGCAGAAACTGCCCTCCTCCATCAGCAGCATTAGCCAGCCCAACAAGGGCATCAGTGTCAAGGACATTCTGAAGAGCCTGGTGGCGGCTCCAGTGGAGGGAATGGAGACTGGGCTGGAGCCGGTGTCCTACCCAGACCCTGCTGCCAAAGCCCAGGCCCAGGCCATGTTGCCCATGCAGTTTCACTCCTTTGACAGGTGAAAATGTTTTTCTGTAAAGAACTGTACCAGAGGTCTCTACATTTTAATCACAGTTACTTCATATCATGAACACAGTATTGCAGTATTTAGAATAATTTACATACTTTCCATCACAATGGACATTTAGTCTGCATTATTTTATTTAAAAGATTCCCATTATTATCCCTGGGTAAAGTATAACAATAAAACAGTGATACTGACATTGACTACGATGAACTGCAGAGCTCATAAGTCTGCTATTAGATTTTCATACCTTACAGAAATTGGTAAAAATCAGTCGTCTATTGTTTAAAAAACAGCCTTACGTGTAGTTTTCCTTAATATGAAAAGTAAACCATATTAAAGCTAGAAACAAATCAGTATGATATAAAACAAGATTAATATTAAGTTATGACACGTTTGAATGCATCACTATCTGAGGTAGATATCAAACATTTCTTTGTGTGTGTGTGCCACGGGGGTGGAAATAGACCAGAATACTAACGTTAATCCTTTGGGTTTATCTTAGATATGTAGTACACCACTAATGGTTTTCTAAGTTGCATGTAACTCATTATTCATCTCAGGCCACTTGTATTGTACTCATCCCTCATGCCAAAGAATTCCTATGTTTGAAAAGGCCTCTGAAGTACCGTGGCACTGTTGGGGTTTATTTACATTCCTGGATTAGATAAAACCACACAGTAATCGTCTGGATTTTTGAGTTTACAAACCTGTTTCTGCCGGCTCGTCCAGCTTCTGCTCCCTCCTGATCCCCGTCTCCTGTGGTTGATAACATGTTAAAAATCATAATTTGTCTGAGAGTAATTTGAGTTGAGTTTGAAAAACTCCTCCTGGCCTCTGGACGCTGCTGATGTGCTGGAGTTTTCATGTGTGTGTGTGTGTGTGTGTGTGTGTGTGTGTGTGTGTGTGTGTGTAGTCACAGCCAGGCAGCAGAGAGAAGGCCGGGGACACAGTGAGTCAGAAGGAACAATGGGGCTTCCTTTCTTTTTAATGCATGCATGCTGCCGAGCTGGGCCGAGCTGAGTCTGATGAATAGGGTAGAAGATGGAGGAGTATGTGGAGAGAGGACAGCTGAGAGGGTGGGGGTCTCCAGGGTGTTGATGACAGATTAAACAGAAGCGGCCTCACGCCACACCACGGCCAGCCCTGTCACCCTCACCGCTCACACCCGTAATGGGAACTGGCATCCTGAAATGAGTCGCCACGGCCAAGTGTATTATTTTTGAAATGCTTTCACACAAACCCGCCTGACCACATATACAACTTTGTCTCATGCTTTTCATGTCACTCCCCTCACCCCAGCCTCTATTTGCTGTGTCTAATTGTTTGCCACCTGCCAGTGAAATGAGCTGCCAGCCATGGACAGGCTTTTCATTTGTCTGTCAGGACAGCAATAGATTGGGAGTGACAACATCAAAAAAGAAAAGGGGGAGAAAAAATGGCTTAAAGTGGAGTGCACGGGGGCAGTTGTCGCAGAGGCCCCTCCAAGAGGGAACTTTATAGAGGAGGGCTTTAAATGGCTCAACATCCAGATTTCCGATCAGCCAGATGGGAATACAGTGCAGAGATACTTCAGTAATCCTTAACTTCCTTTCCTTCCCAAAAAGTATCCAAATCAACTCATATTTGATTTTCCCCATGATGAAGAGCAACAGTAATTGGTTGTCATGGATTTGCAAGTGGAATGTAAACACATTTCCTCTGTTTCTATCTCAGATTCATGAATTAAAACACTATTAGATTAGATTCTGTCTGTTGGATTCATAAAGGAAACATTTCTTTGGTTCTTCTTTATAGCGCAGTCATCTCCGACAGCCGAGGACCACATTAATATTCACTCCAAGATTAATCCTTGCTTAATTCTCTGCAACTCAATTAAGACAATCCTATTAATAAAATATGCGCTAGATAATCTATACATGATTCATGAGCACTCTGCTTATGAATAATTCATGTCGAGACATTGGTGTTTTATCAACATCCTGTAGATCCGGTGTAACGTCCCTGCTATGCCGAGGAACGGGCAGGCTTCCGTTGGAAGATGTGAGTGAGGGGTAGATTTGGAAAGCAAAGATTAAATCCACGCCCAGTTCCCTGCAATCACAAAACCCGAGTGAGGTTCCGATATCTCCCGATGAGATTTCACAGAGGAGAGCGGCGCACAGATCCGCTAAATAAATGATACTTGTCATCAGTGTTCTTCAGAGCACAGCTGTGTCTCCGGAGAGATTAATATTTCAGCGAGTTTTCAAATTTCTCTCTCACTCCTGCTCATGCTCCCTTGTGTTATTGATTGGTTTTGTTACGCTTAATCTCAGATATTTTATTTTACTACTTTGTTTTGTATCATATGCCTGTGCAGTAGTTGTTAACAAGGCAGCAGTGTGTCTCTTAATGTGTGTTATACTACTGCTTTGTGTGTGTTTGATCCATAGAGAGAAACAAGAGCTGTTTCATCTTCAAAATGCTGAAGCATTGATAATTCTTTTCGTGAGAAATGAGTTGTACAGTAAAAGGATGTGAGATGAATCCCCCTAAAGCCTGAAATATATCCCGTCCAAGTTGGGTTTGTTTCCCATGGTGTACAGTGTGGTTTACGTCATGCGTGTGGATATATAAGAACATGAAACAGTAAAAGTCTGTGTTTTGTTGAGGAAGGATTTCAGGGGATTTGCTTCAGACGACAGCGGGTTTAGCACGTGACAGAGCAAAGGCCTGGCCCGTGTCACCCAGAGTAACTGCAGGGGATTGGAGGAGACATTATCTGGCACCCTCGCAAACCCAAAGGCCAACTGCAGACCTGATAAGGACAAGCTTCCCTTCTCTTTGCTGTCAGGCAGCTCTCGCAGGGTCAAGCTCACAGCATCATCTTTAACCCTCGCTCGATCAGATTGCATGTGAACGGAGGTCTGCTGGGTTAGTGGCGTGTTTGTGCTTTCCTGTGCCGTTACATGAGGTCACAAGTGTTACTTTCATCTTAAGCCTGCTCAAGCTTTTTTCTTTACATGTTTCTTTCATGAGCTTTCTCCTTTAGCGCCATGTGTTGTTTTTACAGTGGCTTCTACAAATAAAAGGGGAACCACTGTGATGGTCTATGTTCCTTCTTGACTTGATGTTTAAGTATTAATGCAAAATTCTGACCTTTCAGCAGTTTGGTGCCATATCTTGTATATCTAAAAAGTAAGTCTCTGTCTCTTGGGGAAAAAGGTGATTTATTTAGGAGCCAAATATAAATCCTTGCAGAGTGTCTGCCATATATACCTGCACTCTCCTTGTACTTTCTTTCACACTTTGTGTCTGTACGGTGCAAATGCCAGATAGAAAAGTCTTGAATCTCATAGGCAATGAGGTGTAGTTCTGTCAGTTTGAACACAGCTGGTAGCAATGCAAATGTGCGTCAGTAACAACTGCCAAGTTCCTCTGGGAGAGCCTGTCGTTAGCTTTGAGGATGTTTCCAGCTTCTCTGAACAGAGCAGAGGGCAGCACGGGGCCTCTGGTGACAAGAGCAGATTTCAGGGAAAGTGTAGTAGCTGCCTGGTTGGCCTCTAGCCCTCAGGTTTATTTATTTCAGCCTCTTGCATGTGATTGCATTGCACTTGCTACGCTGAATGATGGAGTTGCAGGTCAGGATGTTTACCTTTCCAAATGTCCTGGGCATTCTCATGCTGTAGCAGGGCCAACAAGATCATTGTTATTCTATTTTGTTTCTTTGCTCTAAAACGTGCACAACGTTTCTTTTATCCACTGTGGTCTGGGGGTGTTTCAGATAAGAGGATTAGAGAGTTACTGTTTGAATCAAAAGTCAAGGGAATGCCTGAAAGTCTGGTTTTATTATAACATCTTTTCTCCCACAGCTCATCTTCTATAAGGATAATTTGGTCATACCCCCTGGTCTCGGGCTAGTTTGGCTCCCCACCTGGCTGATCTATAACCTTCCTACAAAACTGGAAAATTTCACCCACAAGCCCAGCAGTCTTAATACTGTTAGATCAAGGCCATAAGCTTATGAATAATTCTATGACAGTATCACAGTTTTATTTTTCAGTGACCATCTGCATTTGGTATCTTTTCCTGGAACTGTTGTGTTGTGTTGTGTAGTATTGCATTTGTTAAACTGTATAATTACTATTTCTAACTGTTCCTTTTTAGTGTGTGTTCATACTGTGTGTGTGTGTGCGCGCGTGTGTGTGTGTGTG